GTAGCATGCAAATCACTTGGCCTTGAACTTCGTGCCTCAAATTTTATTGATTTGCAATAATCACTTTAGACACTCGAAATCAATTTGTTAGAAATAAACGTAATTTGTTTGTGATAATCAAAACGAGACATCAACCATAGGTCAACAAAGTCTTCGCATCAAATGTGGGGATTGCTGCCTAAAAAAAATGTATGAGGCCTCAATATTTCAAAGGTATTTCAAACCTTATTTAATTTTGTGAGTTTTGGAAAATATTGTCATCATAAATAAGTTGGGAACATTGTTCATTTATTTGGCTTGATCCTGGGTTTTGTGATTTTTTCTTGCTTGATTATGCTTTTTCTTTTTCCTTTTGTGTTGGATTCCACCAAGAGTCTGCATGTAGTTTATTTACAAATTTTTCTATTTCTTTTTCAAGAAATGATTTTTCCTTTTTTATGCTACGGTCCAAACTGTCAACAAGTTTTTCTGCAATTTTCATTTGTTTTTTCCTTAGCTGGCATCCTTTTGGAGTCTTTTATGAAAATTTTGATGTTTTACCGAGACTTTATGTGGGTCTTCCCTGATACAGTTGTCTAAATTGATAATCAAATGCATAGTCATATTCTGGATCTCCCATAGTGCGAAATCTTTGAAGATGTGTTTCTTGATAAACCTGATTGTCATGTTGGATCTTTTGAGTGTATTCCACTGGTAAAGCCTTTCATGGTGCGTCATCTTCATAATTTGGCCGAATTTGTAGAGGAATTGTCTGATTGATTTCTGCCATATGCCTTTGGAACTCTCGAAATTCTTTTGGATAGTGCTTTCAATTTTGATGCATGTTGAATGGTTGAACCGCATACTCTTTAACATGGGAAAAATGAGCATACGTACCTGCTTCAGTGAAATAACCTTGTCTTTAAAATATTAAAGTCACATAAACATTGTTTTTAGAAGTTCTGGGATCTTTAAATTTTAAAGAAAATGTTTGAAACATTTTTATCTAATGCAAAATTGGATAAAACCATTCAAAAAACCTTTTTGCAAAATGATCAACTGTTGTGTACAAAAAATCAAGATTCATTTGGAAGAATGAATCAAGTGCATTAGTGACATGGAAAAAATTCCAATTTGCCAAAACTCTAAAAGGTACCAAAGAAAACAAAGAGTTTCTTTTGAAAATATTAGTGCTATGTGCCTTGGATCAAAATGGAAAAATGTGAAAAAAGGATAGT